CCTCGCCCCACGTCGCCCCCCACTGGTTCTTCACCGTCCAGTACTCCTGCCCGCCGCTGTCGGTCCCGTAGCCCACCACCGTCACGGCATAGTTCAGATTCTGCCCGCACGAGGAGCTGCCGGTCAAGATGCCGCTCATATAGTGCTGGAAGTCACTGTCAGCCTCCACGCTCACGGCCACCGGCTGTCTGGAGACGAGCTCCTGCAACGTGACCTCGTCTCCGTTCAGGCTCACCGACTGAAAGTAGCTGACGTAAGCGGCCGAATTTGCCATTGCCTGAATGATGCGGCAGGCGCCATGCTGGCCGCTATACGCGTAGTTTTTCTCCGGCTGCAGGCCGCCGCTCTCGGCGATGTAGTTTAGCGCCTCCTTGACGGAGCCGCCGTTGCAGGTGTTGGCGCCGCCGGTGCAGTCGAGCACCTGCTGCTCTGACATGGAGATGAGGTTGCCAGTCGCAATCTTTACGAGCCCCTCGGTCACCGCCACCGCCGCGAACGCCCAACAACAACCTTCACGTGTAAACACATATATGTATAGTCATTTGTGAACTTTGGCTTATCTTATACACTTATACCTTTGCAGGAGCTGCAGATTCTTACCGCATGAACCTTGGTTCTTGACCGGGGTGACGGCACCCTGGGCCCTCCAGTCCACGCTTTCTGGGAGGGACCGAAACTGAACCTTGGACATGTTCACCATGGCCACCGGCGTGCTGTCCTCTGGACGGAGCCCGCCGCGCTGATGGCGGTACCCGAGGTGCTTCTCCGCGAACTCTTCATTGGTGAGGTCGGAGAACTGGTTGAGCCCGAGCATGTACGTCCGGTTGCCCGCTCGGTTGACAGCGTCTACATGTCGCACGTTGGCCGCGAACACCTCCTGCCGACGCAATTTCTCGGTGGCGTCCGTGTACAAGCGCCCATGCTTGGCCATCCACCGCTCGTGCCGGGCAGCCAGTGCTTCCGCTTGCTCCGCGGCAGCGCTGACAAAGGCAGTGGCGGCCACGAGCATGAGCAGTGTGCCGTAGAGGCGGCGGCGCGAGCTATGAATCGGCGCCATTAGCTAGTTTGCCTGTTTTTTCTTGCAATGGCTCGCGAGGGAGCTACTAAGCACGTAAGGCAACCAACCAAGCTGCTACGCGCGCGAATGGTCGTGTGCATTAATTCGAGCGGATTCCATACTTTTCGTCGCTGGATCTGCCTGCCTTCATACGCTGTAGTCTAGTCTAACGTATTGACTGGGAGCAGTGCTTCGAGCATGTTTGTATCTGACGGTGCTTGCTCTCAGCGGTCCGTATTTTCTTCTTGGTCGTTCTCGTCTTATTTCTTCTACGGCGGACGGATACCGCCGCACACGCATTGAGTTCGGCCGATATATGTTGTGGCCTAGATTACATGTTTGCCTCGTGTTTTTCTCGGAGAATAATGAAACACGTTACTTCTCATTCTATTCAAATTTTGTGATAGATACATCAAGGTATAAAGCAAGAAATTGTGGAGATGGCTAACTCCTAAAAATGCTACATACGTACATTGTATATCACTGGGCGAACTCTTGCATTTTCTTGCGTGTCAGCCCTAATTTTCTTCAGCGCCCATGCACAAAGATCAGCTTTATTAGTTTTCGATATTTTAATATGAAATAAGCTTAATTAATAGTGGGGTTAATCATCCTCTACAAAAATGGGGTTAATTAATTAGAGCATCTCCAATAGTATCACAATAGCCCACTACGCACGCAAGCTCACGCACACGCTGACGCACATCATACATCATATGGTTTTCACTTTCAGTGAGATTTCAATGAAAATCACTGAATTTCATTAATTTTAGTAGACACTGAAATATTACGTTTCGGCCAAAATATTTCAGTAATTTCTGTAGTACGCTGGAAATCAAATATTTTTCAAAAATTTCAAATATTTAATTAAATTCAAGTGAATATTTCGGCCCTCTGGCCGAAATGCAAACTGAAATCACTGAATTTCAGTGATTTCGGTTGGTGCAGAAATTTTGTCTAAACTGAAATTGAAAAGCCGCGGCCTGAATATTACATCACAATAAAGCCTTCATTTTCGGCAACTACCTTGTTACTATCAAAGTATTGGAATCTACGTACAGCATATATTGCCGTGTGGGACATGCAACATACCGATCCGCAGATCGGTATGCACATGCCTAGCTCCAACACGCACGGCAGTTGTGCAGACAGACTCTCATATGGTCTAGACTTGCATGGCCAAGCATCAAGCACGGCAGGTTCTGCAGACTTCCACGCCCATGATCTATACTTCCATGGCCACGGCTGGGCAATTATTCTATTCTTTGACATGTATTTCATATTTCTTTTTTTGCATCGAAACATTGGGGAGCTTTATTGATTTAACATGGTCCTGTTACAATTAGCACGAAGGCTGCTAACTAGAAAACTCGGGCATTCCTCAAGCCAGCACTCGGAGACCGACAAGGTACGTGCGTGCTTTGCACAGAGGTCTGCCGCACTATTGCCATCCCTAAGGACATGCCTAACAGAAAAGGAAATAAAACTTGAAGATTTCTCCCCTATCTCATCTAAGATAGGCGCTACAATGGAACGAGTATTGTTGCGCGAAGCCCAGAGGTTAACAACCTCCAGACAGTCCACTTCCATCACCACATGTGAAAACCCCCCGGAGTTGTGCAAAAATTACACCCTCCCGGAGGGCTAAAGCTTCGGCGATCAGTGGATCAGTTACCCCGGCGAACGGTTTACTCCAAGCTCCGACGAAGGATAGGTGAGAACGAGCCACACCACCGCCTCCTCCAGAGTGATTTTCAGTACTAATAGCCCCATCCGTATTAATTTTTATCCAGCCAACATCGGGAGGCCTCCAGCACTGTCCATCTGGGATACCACGTTGCCACATGGGTGTCTCAAGCATCAACAGGCCATCCCTGACCATCTTCACCGACTGAACCGGATCAAAGACAGGTTGATCATGTGTCCATCGGTTTCGCGATGTCCATATCGTGTGCATGACTGTGATAAGTTTCCCTGGGTCATGATCCGGAACAATGCCATCCAGTACAATGTCCCGTGCCCAAGTTGACGGATGCAGATTTGGCAATTTGATGTCCAGAATCTCTCTTGCCGCCCTCCAATATTGCTTTGCATGCGAGCAGAACATTAGCGCATGTTGTAGATCCTCCGTCATAGCTTGGCAGAGGTCGCAGCGAGCCATAGTACGAATATGACGGTGCTGAAGTGTGGCATAGTCACGGAGAATTCCCCGGAGAACACGCCACCAGAATACACGAACTCTTGGTATAACCTTGAGTTTCCACACAGCCCTCCACAAGTGTTTATCCGGCGATGATGGTCCCGCTACCGTCCCTTCCTCTGGAGCTAGTTGCTCTTTGCGAGTCATTAGAGCACGGTAAGCTGTTTTGATGGAGTAAACACCCGATCGTTCCAGAGCCCAAGCATAAAAATCCTCTCCTCCAGAAGCCCTCAATGGTATTTCATATTTCTTTTTGCAGGGAATTGACAGGTATTCCGTTAACATATGGACAGAGGTGTGCTCTACTATTTAATCAAATCGTTGATAGCGTGGTTGTACTGTGTTTAAACATCGTCAAGCTGTATTAGTCCCAGTTCATGCACACACTTGCGTAATTTTAGATGCTCCATTCTATTTGAGAAATGAAGTACCTTCTCCATTTCATATCAGTTGTAGCTGAAATAGATCCATCTGAACGTATTTTAGTGCTAGATATACCCGTTTGAGCAACAATTAAATGGAACGGAAGGAGTTCTTAGTAAAATTACCAACTGTTAAGCCTGTATACGAAATCAATAAAATAATGAGCAACATATTCTGTGAATCGATTTTAATACATTATTTCTTTCAGCTGTCTGTATACATTAGTATTAGCACATATACAGGTCGTGCTTATCCTTCCGACTTTTTAATCTTGAATGATTCAAAGTCTTGTGCAACCGCATCATATGCTTGATCGAGGATATAGGCTTTTACAAATTATTATTTGAATATTGGATGCTTCAAAGTCTGTCGTACAAGTCTGTAGAGCTTGCATTAATTGTCTGGGTTAAGCAACAAGAGCGACGCCACTCATTCTGCAGCCTGGTTTGGTCTACGTATACATCGAATGTTTGGACGCTACGTACCTCATCACTGTCCAAGTATTGGAAGCTAGTACAGCATTGTACTGCCTTGTGAGACATGCAGCGCAGCCGTCCATAAATCAGTATGCACATGGCTCAACCACGAATGACTTGACTGTAACTCCCATGCCTACTCTCCATTGCCGTGCCGTGTGAGCTGACCGTAACTCTCATGCCAACTCTCCATCAATTATAGCAGGGTCCGCAGACTTTCATGGCCATGGTTATTCTCTTCTTTGGCATGTATATTCCGTTTAACATATCGACAGATGTGTGCTCGACTATTTAATGAGCTGCCATCAGCACTCAGAACCAGAACCAGAGCTAATTCCATCCTAGCTAGCTAGTCACGGAGATGGAGCCACCACCCAAAATGCTTGCCTCTCTCACCATGACCATACTGATGATGATGATGGCCACCTCCGCCGCACTTGTATCGGATGCAGTGGTGCTCGAAGGACAAGGAAGAGCACTCCTCGTCTGGAAAGATAGCCTCGACAACCAAAGCCAGCAGGCCCTGCGCTCCTGGGGAAACACGTCGATGCCTTGCAACTGGCGCAGCATCAATTGCGATATCGGTGTGCAGCGACACCAGCATTGGCCGGTGATCAGTGGCATCTCTCTGCAGGGTATGCGGTTGAGAGGGGCTCTGGAATCCCTCAACTTCTCGGCCTTGAGGACCTTGGCACGCCTCGACCTCTCAAACAACCTCCTCGCTGGGAGCATTCCTCCTAGTATCGAGGTCCTTGGCGAGCTCCATGCCCTCCTTCTGCAAGGCAACCGGATAAGAGGCTGAATCCCACTAGGTCTAGGAAATCTCACAAAATTGCATTCCTTAATGCTTCACGAAAATGAACTCTCCGGTGAAATACCAAGCCAGATAGGCAACATGAGTAGTCTTGTCACCCTCAACTTGTCAATCAATCACTTGGTTGGTCATATCCCTTGTGAAATAGGACACATGAAGCACTTAGTTGCATTAGATTTGTCCAGTAATAATCTTTTCGGCAAAATACCAAGCAGCATAGGTGGTTTGACCGAACTCACTACCTTGTACCTTTACTATAACAAACTTTCTGGAAAAATTCCACGAGAACTAGGTTATCTTCTAAACTTAAAGGACCTGCAACTTGGCATCAACACACTCTCAGGTTCCATTCCACAAAATTTACTTAATTTGACCAATCTCACTGTGTTAATTCTACGGCGAAACAAACTTTCTGGGTAAATTCCACAAAAAATAGATTACCTTTCGAACTTACAGTACCTGAGTCTTGGTGAAAACACACTCTCAGGTTCCATTCCACAAAATTTACTTAATTTGACCAAGCTCACTGTGTTAATTCTACGGCAAAACAAACTTTCTGGGTTAATTCCACAAAAAATGGATTACCTTTCGAACTTACAATACCTGAGTCTTAGTGAAAACATACTCTCGGGTTCCACCCCAAATAGTATAAGAAATTTGACCAAACTCACAACCTTGTCCCTTCACAACAACCAACTTTCTGGGTTAATTCCACAAGAAATAGAGTACCTTGCGAACTTAGAGTACCTGGATCTTAGTGGAAACATATTCTCGGGTTCCATCCCAAATAGCATAGGAAATTTAACCAAACTCACAATTTTGTACCTTTACAACAACCAACTTTCTGGACACATCCCTCGAGAACTAGGTTATCTTGAGAACTTAGAGAATTTGTCGCTTAGCAACAACACGCTAACAGGTTTGATCCCAAATAGCATAGGAAATTTGACAAAACTCACTATCTTATATCTTTACAAGAACCAAATTTCTGGACACATCCCTCAAGAACTAGGTCGCCTTGTGAACTTATGGGATTTGGATCTTGTCCACAACACGCTAACTGGTTCCATCCCAAATAGCATAGGAAATTTGACCAAACTCATAGTCTTGTACCTTAGCCGCAACCAACTTTCCGGACACATCTCTTGAGAACTAGGCCGCCTTGAGAACTTAGGGGACTTGTCTCTTAGCAACAACACACTAACAGATTCCATCCCAAGTAGCGTAGGAAATTTGACCAAACTCACAAATTTGTACCTTGATAATAACCAACTTTCTAGCCAAATTCCACGAGAACTAGGTTATTTAGCCAACTTAGACTACTTGAGGCTTAGCTACAACTCACTGACAGGCTCCATCCCGAACAACCTAGGCAATCTCACAAAAATCACTGGCTTGTATCTTGACAATAACCAACTTTCCGGCCACATTCCCTGAGAATTAGGTTATTTGGCCAACTTAGATTCGTTGTCTCTTAGGAATAATTCACTAACAGGTCCCATCCCAAATAACCTCGGTAGTCTTACAAAACTCACTACCATGGACTTTGGACAGAACCAACTTTCGGGGCCAATTCCGTGAGTAATAGCTTGGTCGTTCAATTTAGAGTACTTACAGCTTAGCAACAGCACACTAACAGATTTAATCACAAATAGCCTAGACTATCTTGTAGCAGAATTATGTTTCTCGGAAAATTTCACAAGAAGTAGAAGGTGCCCCGTCCTCATCCACCCCTCCTGCTGCTCCTCTCCCTCACAAGAAGTAGAATTATCGCTGTTGTTTGCTCCCAGCTGTCCTAAACTGGAGTCGCTACAGACAGCACAGGGTAAAGTGAAGAAAGCTACAGAGAGCAGTGAATTAGCGAGGAGGAGATTGCCTAAAGTTCCCAAGGTATGAATTAATTAATGAACCATTAATTATATTGTGCACGGTGTTGTTACTTGTCTTGAGTAGATTTCAGAAGCATCTTTAACAAGTAGCCACTCAATTTTGTAGTTCCTTTTTCTGTCTGAATGTTTATCATTACTGCTGCTATGGAACACGTGGCTTTGGGAAAAGGATACACGAGAGATAATAATAACCCGTCAAAAGGAAGATGCCGAGAATTCTACCAGTGTGACTTCGACATTGGCCCTGTTTGAATCATGGGGTTAGAGTTAGTTTGGGTTAGTTGGGGGCTCAAATAATTCAAAAATATCCAAACAAGGAGGATTAGAGTGGGTTAGTTTTATCTAACCCAACTATCCCGGTGGAGAGGTGCTTATTTGGGTTAAAGTGGGTTAGAAAATAACTCTAACTCTAACTGTGTTAGCGTATCCAAACAGGATCATTGCTGGAGTATACGAGCCAATGGAATCAGATTTCGAGGTTATCGAAATTCGGACAGAGTTGCTAGATATATAGGCTAGATATTGGCATGTATATGAGATAAAACCAGGACCCTATTCGGCAGCCCTCCGCTCCGCAACTCCGCTTCGGGAGCGGGCTGAGTGGCACTGAACACCTCAGCTCCGTGAATCTCCAAGAGCATCTCCAACAAACGCCCAACGCGGCGCGCGCAAAAAACAGCTTTAGCACGCGCCCAACTCCTGGTTTGGCGCGGCGCGCTGCGCCCGCTCCGGCAGCCGCGTTAAAATGCAGCGCGCGCGCCGCTCCAGCAGCGTGCAAAAAATGCAGCGCGCACACAGCATTTTTTTAATTTTCGAACGCATAGATAAAATAAAAACTAGATAGATTGCACATAATAAATAAAAAACGATACGAAGGTATTTTACATCGGTGCAACTAGATAGATAGTTCGAAAGTATAGATAAACTACAGCGCAACTAGATAGAAACTACTCTAAGTCGCTATCATCATCATCATTATCATCCTTGGCGGTGTCGTCCGAGGTATCTAGCCAGATGTCCAGCCACCGATCATCGTCCGGCATGAAGAACGACTGCCCACCTGTTGCAACGATGTCGGACCGCGCATTCGCCAACGCCTTCCGCTGACGCCTTTCCAACCGCGTCTCGTGGCGCCTTCGCGTGTCCTCCTCGCGGCGCCTTGCCCAGTAGGCCTGCTCGTAGGCGACGTCTTCCGGGTGGCGCTGGCGCCACTCCGCCATGACCCGCTTGTCCTCCTGGGCGACGAGGAGGCGGCGTTGCCGCTCGGCGTGCTCCGCACGGTCTTTCGCCGTGTTTAGACGAGGCAGAGGGCCGAGGTTGAGCGCTTGCTGGAGCGTGTACACATCTTGAAAGTTCATCTGGCCGCGCGGCCGGCCTAGGCGCCACGCCGCCGTGTCGTACGTGCGGGCGGCCTCGCGCGCCGTCCCGTACGTGCCGAGGCCGAGCCGGAGTTCGCCGGAGCGTATCTCCGCGGTGTAGCAGCCGTTGGGGCGCGGGCGGACGCCGCGGTAGCCGGACGCTCCTCGGCGGCGCGGCGGCATGGCGGCGCGTCGGTGGCGGGGCGCTGGAGCGGCGCGTGGCAGAGAGGGAGAGAAAAAGGGAAGAGGAAGTGTGGAGAAGCGCGTGACGAAGCGGCGAAGCGGCGCGCAGCTTTATAGGCGCGCGCGAAGCGGCGCGCCAAATCTTGCGCGCGAGCTGGCGCCTTTTCGCGCACGCGCAAACGGTTCCGGCGCGCGCTTGTTTCCCGCGGCCGCTGGAGCGCGGCAAACCGCCCCGCGCGCGCTAAAAGTTGAGTTTACCGCGCGCGCGTGTCGTTTGGTGCGTTTGTTGGAGATGCTCTAATCTGAGAGTGGAGCGGCACGTGGTAGATTTTCCCGGAGTAGCAAAAGTGATGCTCCGCGAACTCCGCCTTGGCTCCGCGTAAGAAACAGACCTGAAGAAAAGAGCGTCTCGCCAAGCCCTGATTCTCCTCGCCTCGAAGCCTAGCCGCCGCCGCATGCGCATCGTCGCCGCCCCGACGCGCCACTCGCCAGCGCTGCACCACGCGTTCCCCCGCGTACGTCTCGTCCCCGACCTCGCCCAGCCGTGCATCTCCGCCTCCCGCTGTACCGCCCGCCCTACCAACCCCGCCGCCCTCACTCTGGTCGTGCTTCAACGCCGCCAGTCATCACCGAGCCCCTACATGGACGTCACCGACGCTGCCGGCCGTCGTCATCCTCCTCCACATCCCGCTTCCCAGCGCCTCCCTCCATCCAATTCTTCACCAAGGCCCTGCACCCCGTCTCTTCACCGAGCACAAACGCCGTTGGCCGTCCTCGTCCTTCCATACGTCTGGCAAGGCGAGGACATCACATCAGCAGTTCAGCAATCCTCTATTTTTTATACCCAACCCGTAGCACCTATCCCAGCCGGTGATGGATGGACATTATTTTCTGAAACTTGTTTTCAGGAGATGGAGTTGGCAGCCGAACATATCTTCAGATTCTGAAATGAGCTACAGGAGTTAAGAGTTGAGGAGTGAGGAGGAGAGTTAAAAATTTGGAGGAGTGGAGTGTTGCCGAACAGGGCCTAAATCACAGAAGGTTGCTTGATGGAATGCTGGAGATCTGCGGCGTCCCTCCTGAGAAGTTCAGAACGGTTTGCTCGAGTATCGGCAAGCTCGACAAACTGACATTCGAAGACGTGAAAAAAGAACTGGTACACATCCAAACTACTTTTTTTTTTGTTTTGTTCAGTGGTCATATATGTTCTTTGTGATCTTGATGTGGATTTATGCGCCATAATCCTGATTGTTCATTATGCTGCGACTTAGGTGGAAGAGAAGGGTGTACCACATGAAACACTGAAATTATTGGAAGTCTAGTGAAGAATGGAGGACTGGCGCTGGATGTTCTGCTAGAACTGAGAATGAAGGTAGCAAGTTCATGGAGAATGCTGGTTCTGTTGTTGCCTGGACTGGAAGACTCTGCTCGGCTTATCACCAGATGCTGCTCCTGTTTCTCCCACCAGGACACCCACACACTCTCAATTTTGCTTTGGTTATACTTGCCCAACTAAATTAAATTCATACTACTAGTACCCAAGCCTCTATTACAGGCAAGGTTTTTGCTTCAAGATTGAGCCACTTGGGTGAAAAAAGACGCACGGTGAATTGTGGACATGGCACGTGCCCTTTTTTTGGTACCTGGCGGGGTAGAAACGACTTGTGTGTTCAGTTATTTCATTCAAATTTTTTGAACGGGTGTGGCATTCGTTTTGGTTGGCTTAGCGTTTTTTCATTGCATGTGGGGCAGTCTGGCATGGTCCGTGTATGTCGCTGTCAGTCGATCTGATCGTGCCGCTGTTGGCACAGTTCTCGCGCCGCTTTCTTTTGGTATTCGGCGCTGGCTTCCGCTTGTGTCTTCGATTTGATTACGTTCATCCCTATGACTGTTTCCTATTTGGTGGGTGGTGGCTTGCATGCGTTGGTTCTGGCCAGTTTTTTAAGGGATCTTTTGCATGCGTCTAGGCTGGTGTGGCCACGTGCATGCGTTGATTTTCTTGTGTATTCTCTCGATCATCTCCGGTATCTTCTCGATTGACCCCCTTCATTCTTCTCGATGTGTTGGCTATTACTACTGCTGACACGTTTGCTAATTGCCGCTTGATACGTTCCTTCTCGACAGATGTCTTGCCTATAAATGGGGGATTCCTGAATTGCTTTGCCTCAAGGCTTTCTTCCTTCCGTCTCTGCTTCATCGAGGCCGATCCCGGCTTTCTTTTCTCTCCCTAAAATCGATGATGGATGAGCCTCTCTACTACTGCCAGCCAATGTCAAGCAAGAAGTGGTGGTACTATCGTCTGCAGGAGCCAAATGACGGAGGAGGAGGAGGTGGTGCAGTTGTGCCGACGCAAGTAGCCCTCGGAAAGGAGATCGATCGATGTTAAATCGACTCCGACCGCGCTCCACTGCCTGGTCTGCTCCGGTTGCCTGAGGCCTCCCGTCTTCCAGGTTTCTCTTCATGTGTTTATTGTTTAATTCGATGCGATTGATGGTTTACTGTATTCGCATGTCTAATCCCAATTTTATTTCATCTGTTCATGCATGTAGTGTACGGCCGGCTGGCACATGGCTTGCAGTAGATGTAGATCGAGCGCCCCCGCAAGCGGTGCCACTCATGCAACCACGGCGGCACCTACGTCCGGTGCTCCCGATGGACGGTGTCGTGGTCAAGTACCCCTACAACCAGCACGGCTGCCGGAGCTGCGTAGCCTACTATG